TCTATACGCAAGTGACTCCAGAGTTGTACAAAGGATAACTCTTCCTTCTTATTCTTAAGCATATGCTATTATGCTTAACGTCTTTCCAAGAGGGGGAAATTGTCAATAATACTCAATACTGGAATGCACTCGTCCATTTTCATGTCGTCTTGAGAAAATTGCCCTAGTACACGCAGGAGCTCATATATTGCTCCATCACATGCCTTGAGTCCACCATCTTGTAATTATTAAAATTGCTAGGGAGCAATTTCTCACTTGAAGCATCCTCCACCATGTATTTGGACTCATAAAAGTCCCATAACTCTTTGGCAGACTCAAGATTTTGATAATGTCAAAGAGGGAGACACACATACCGTTCAGGATGTGGCAACGACATATGTAGTCTTCATTTTTCCATTTTCCTCAACAACGAGTCATCTCTAACATCTCTTCCATCACCTCTACCATCGGAGTACTCAACAAGCACACCACCTTTAATATGGTCAACATAAAGTGCATCTTCTTCTGCCATCGTCTGAAATTAATGTCGTCGAACTTCTCCAGTTCAGTGAACTTGGTTGTCATGTCTTTCATAGTTTGATACTCGATATTTTCTCATTAAGAACGAAAATATCACTTAAGATTGTTAGAGGAAATCCAGAAAATCATGAGAAAACAATGAGTGATCAAAAACTTGGATAAAAGTTGAGATCGCGTGAAAGCTCGTTTCCTTAAGTGATATTTCAACCTTGTTCTGTCTGGGTATCACGAAATTCGCTTGAGGATAATACCGATATTTTAAAATAGAGAATCGTAACCACTCCTATACTAATACCGATAATAACTCCCCACTAAATGGGAATGGTAGTTGGAAATAAGTAGTGGCGGTTAGAAAAAACATATTAGTTACAAAACTAATGATAAGCGCATGACACGTGCTCTTTACAAGTGGAAAATGCACGACCCGTGTTGATCTGCTGAAAGCACACACACTATAAATGCAAGACCCATGCCATTTTCAAGAGAGAAAAAATGCACTACCTGTGCACAACCTTCTGTTTCCAAGTACGGCCCATGCTCCTGTTATGACCAAAATCGACGACCTGTGCACTGTCATTTGCCATTTAGTAACTCACCATACATAACCATCCAACAATCCCGAGTTCTACTTAGCTTATACAAGTGTGCACTTCACACCTTGTARCTCGTTTTATAACTTAGCTATCAACCCTGTTATTATCTTGGGAATCCAATTACCTAATATAAAGAGGTGATTTTACTAAAATCACCAACAAAGCCAACATTAAGAAGTAGACGATACCCAAAAGGACAATGTCAAGTAATTGGGGTCAATCATTTAAAAGTGGAAAGATTCTAAGTAAGACGTTGTACATAACATAAAGGCATAATAGGTAAAGTCGAGGGCGACCATAAAGTATTGTGTGAAAGGAATGTCATGTTAAAGCTATATGACATATTATGTGGTGTAGCCATCTAATAAACTATGTTTATGGTGAATGTTTCACAATAAACAAAGCACACGAGAGAAAAATTGAAGTTGCAGAAATTGGGATATTGAGATGAACTTACAACCAGACTATGTTGGACATCGAATGATCTTTTTTGGATGGAGCTAATAGTTACGCCTATCTCAGATACATAGAGGAATGAAGATTAGTGGTTTAGGCAAGTCCAAAAKAGAGTATAGACTGCACCATTAAGGATGGTGGATAGATTCATGGTTAAAGGGGTGAGGAGGCAAGATATGTTGAAGAGGACGTGAGATGAGCAAATGATGTTGAACATGGAGGTATTAGTACTTTATGAGGGCATGATCTCARATAAGGGTCCRTGGAGGCGACATGTTTGGGTAGTTKCTTGCTYTTTGTACTCTTATGAGGACTGYTGTGGGGAAGGGTCACGAAAATAGAATGGGATTAGGGAAAGCAAATAGTAGACTGATATGTTTCTAGTATTGTAGCATAGATATAGGGGGATAGATATAGACTGATGTTGTTCAGTATTATTTTAGCCACATATTGCTCATTTAACTATCTCTATTGTTGTTTAGGAAAAAAAAGTAAATTACATATTTGGTCCTCATGGTTTGGTGGTTTTTACGAAAATGGTCTATGAACTTCATTTATTATGAATTAAGACTCGTCGTATGTCATTTGTAACGAATTGGTCCCTCCCTTTAATCGTCATCCAGTTCCTCCGTTAACTTTGAGGGCATTTTTGTCTTTTTTTTATCTTTACTCGAGGGACCAATTACGTAAAGACCACACATACCATAGGGACCAAATCCGTAATTAAGGCTAAAAGAAAAAAAAATATGAATTCTTTTATACTTTGATTTTATTAAATTAATTAATTTTATTATAATTTAACATATATCAATTAATTAATATACTTTAAGTTTAATTTTAGTATATAATATATTTTCTTTCAAAAAAATACGTATTAACGTATTATACACACATGCATACACACACATATATACATAGTGAGGTTCAACTTTTTAGGGGAAACTCATATCGATCAACCATTAGATTATTTGATTCAATGAGTGTGATTAAATAAAAGTTTATAACAATATTTTTTTAAATTAAGAAAACCTCACCGCCCCTAATGAAAAATAAATAAAAATCAAAAGAAATTAATTACACCACATTGATATAATTTTTTCATGATTTTCCGGTTTTTCATTTATTTAGCGTTTTCCTCTGAACTCAAATTTTCTCTCTCAATTCAAGCTAAATGAAAAACTGGAAAACTAGGGGAAAAATGGATGAAAAAAATATATCAATATGAACGTCAAATTAGTGAGAAAAAATATGATTGTTTTTTAGTGTAATTTATTTCGCTCGATTTTTGTTTATATTTTATTTTTTTCGAATAAAAATAGGTGGAGATGAGGTTTTTTTAATTTAAAAAACATTGTTGAAAAAGTCCATTTAATCATATCCATTAAATCAATTAATCTAATGATTGATAAATTTATGTTGAATCTCACTATATATATATATATATATATATATATATATATATATGTGTGTGTGTGTGTGTATGTGTGCATACACACCTCTAGACGTACGTAATATATATATATATATTTTTTTTTAAATATTGTATGTTAAAATAAAACTTAAATTATAACAATCAGTATATATTAATGTATAATAATCATAATTTAATAAACTCAAAGTRTAAAACAATTAATATTTTTATTTTATTTTTTAGACTTAATTACATATTTGGTCCTTATAGTTTGTATGGTTTTAACGAAATTGGTTCTTCGAGTAGAAACAAAAAAAAAATGAAGAGGACGAAAATGCCCTCAAGGTTAACGAAGAAAATGGATGGTCGTTAAAGGGAGGGAGGGATCAATTCGTTACAAAACGACATATTCATAAAAATCACCAAACCAAAGAGACCAAATCCATAATTTACTAAAAAAAGAAACCCTCTCTGTTGTTGTTTTTCTCTTTCGTTTTTGTTTCTCTCTTTTGTTTATTTCGTCTCGCCTTAATTTTTCACTGAGGCTTTTCATAATATTTTGTAATTATGCTTTTAAAATAGTAAAATCACTTGACCAAATTTAACAAAATTTTCAAAACTATTGTCTTATATCTATGTTTTTCCATATATTAGCAGTTTCTTACAAATAACCTTTCTTTTTCCTGGCCTACTTTTGGTACGAAAGCATGTTTAGATATTTCTTTTTTAAATGGTAACACAAAATAATTAATGTACATACACAAATGAAATACAAACCACTAAGAAATCAATGCAATTTCAAATACTTTTATAATCAGCTTATTTGTATTCCACTATTATTAACTATTAGAATTAAATTCTAAGTTTGTAAATCCTAATGATGTGATCTGACAAAACAAAATATAATGGTAGCATCTTTGGATTCCACTAATATTGTTGTTTAACAATTCACACATATCTCACACGATTCACATGTGAATGATATTATAAAGAATATGGAATAAAGTCAGCGTAGAGAGTTTGACCTGACAAAATATTTGGTAGCCATCTTCTTTTAATAATCAAAGAGTATCCCGTGTCCCAAAATACGAATATTCCACCATTGAGCCCTCTTGTTATTGATTTCAAATTATACCACGTTTTGGTAGCTTTTATTTAGGTTTTTCTCTTTGATTTGAATTTTAACTTTTGGTAAACTATCTGATAAAATCTTGATCTATATCAAAAATTTGTACTACACGGTTAAAAAAAATCTGTTCGTAAGTTACCATGAAATTATTTGAACTTCATTGTATCATTTTATGCATTAAACTGATAAAAATAATAATTATATGATGACTTATTCTCTTTACGCAATGCAAATAAGATTATTTTTATTCTGTTAACCGAACTGTTTAACTAAAATAATTGGAATTGTTCGGTATAGTTTTACTTAATTTATTGGGTACCAATTTGACACCCTTTTACAATCACAATTCAAACATTTAGAGCATTTCTAAAAGATTCCCCAAAATTTCTTTAAAATGGAGAAATAAAAGTCAAAATCACTAAAAAGATAATACATTCATTTCCTACATATTCTTTATTTTAGAGAATACAACATTGATTATAATACCAAAGGACATTTGGCCTAGTGGTACGTGAGTCATTGGTCTTTTAGGAGGTCAAAGATTTAAACATTAGCAAAGGAAAGGTAAGGATGGTGTGTAAATTTATTTATTCTATTTATTATATATAAATATTATATACTAAAAAAAAACACTTCTCTCTTTTACTTTCTCCGATTTAAACAGAACAAAATATTGATTAAAAATTGTCCTTTTTAGAAGACGTTGGAGACGATCTTATCTTATCAAAAAGTAGCACTTTACGAGTTAATTAGATAATTCATTAGATTAGCCCTTGTTCAAAACGTGTAATCAACCCACACGGTTGACGGTATCTTGTAATAACAACACCAACACAAGGGTGTTTTGGTCAACTTAATTAACCATGATAAGCATATATAAAACCCTACTCTCATTTAATGGCTTTCCTCACTAATTATTGAATCACCATCGTTTTATATATACATATTTCTTCTTTTACCTCCCTCTACATCTACCAACTGTTGATGGACCCAGAAGCTGTGATCAGCCTCTTTGATTCCTGCTGGTTCGATTATGAAATCTTGAAGAACAATCAATCTTCGTTGTACAGTTCTTACGYAAAACTAAACCAATCTTCTTCATCTGCTGAGCCAAAATTTTCAAGTTTGAGATCAATCCTTGTGAGATCTCAGAGTGAAGACATACGAGGAACCAGCTTCAACAACTATGGTTCTTTCTCTCCCAACTCAGTCCTCTTCACGCCACACCTCAAATCCATTCCTTCTGGTAACTTAGATCTCAGATCACAGAAACAAGAACAAGAACAAGATCAAGAGCCAGAAGCAGAAGCAGAAGCAGAAGCAGAAGCAGAAGCAGAATCAGAAGCAGAAGCAGAAGCAGAAGCAGAAGCAGAAGCAGAAACATCAAACACAGATCCAAAGGAACACAGTATTTTGCTGGAAAAGAAGAGGAGTAAGAAGAGAGGAGGTAGGACGACAAGCAAGAGCTTGTCAGACCTTGAGTTTGAGGAGCTAAAAGGGTTCATGGATTTGGGYTTTGTTTTCTCCGAAGAAGATAAAGATTCAAGGTTGGTTGAGATCATTCCTGGTCTTCAAAGATTAGGGGAGGAAAGAGAAGGAGGTGATGACAGCAATTCGTTTTCATCTACAGGAGCAAAGAGGCCTTATCTCTCAGAAGCATGGAAGGATTTGGATAGAAAGATGAAGAAAAGAGAGCAAAAACCAGCATTGATGATGAATTGGGAGGTTCCTGTTGTTAGTGATGAGATCGACATGAAAGATAACCTCAAGTTATGGGCTCATACTGTTGCTTCATTTGTTAGATAACTACTTGTTTTTCTTCACAGATTTTGATGATGCAATGATTCTTGTTATTTAGATTGAGAATTTGTATTTGGGTTTATAACTACTTCTTCTTGAGGATGTAAATACGTTTAAGAGATGGAGATTGAATTGAAAGTGGAGGTCAATTTGTTAGAAGTTTCTGGGGGTTCAAGTGTTGAACAATCAACACATGTGACATTAATTTACTAACCATAATTATATGAATTATTAATTAGTTTAATCCAAAAAAAAAAATTTAGAAACAATAGATTTATTAAGAAACCCCTGAGGCTAGCAAGRTGCTAGCACTTACAACAAAGTCGCTAAAGGGTTGATACACCAAGCATTCCAATCAAGAGTATTACAAAACTTCGATCTAAGTCTAATCCAATTATGCGAAAAGAGCACGATCTCCTTGGAAATCACCACCGGGCTTTTTATGGGTTTGTTGAGACATGTTCTTGAACTCACCCTAATTATAGTTATGAGTTATTGTTTATGTATGTTTTACTCTTTAAACAACTATATATTTTCTTTTAATTTTTATGGATTAATTCCCTTTCCTGTATTTTAATGCTTAGAACTAAGAATGAACTACAAAAATGGTCCCTATGGTATGTTAAGAGTTTGAAAATGATCCCTCAAACGTGAAAGGTACAAGAATGATCACTAGATTATGCATTTTATTTTCAAAATGTTACCTTACTCATAAAATGTTAATGGTTCCGGTAGAATCTGATTTTTTTCACAAGTCACCCAAATATTACCAACAAGGGCTCTGGGTAATCTCTCTCTAATTGGAGTTTCCCACCAACAAGTTGTTCACCAACTTTTGTGACTGTTTTGTGACGAATCACCCCTTTAGTGATAGATTTCCYAGTAAAATTTTCGTAGCTAAAARTCTTCAGTTTAGTAGTGATATATCATCAAGACTTTCTTCATATTGACCTATCTGCCACTTCAAACTTCGTACGAAACTAGGTTATCATCCCTTTTCATCTATATTTTCTTCAAATGTRTATTATGGAGAAACCTGTGATTTGTGGGTTTAAATGAGCAATAGTTGCTGGATCGAGGAGTGGTCATGTGGAGGGGGTTGCCGAAAWAGAGGACAGTGGGAAGGGTAGTCGGAGAAGTTACCGAGAAGGGGATGAAAGAGAGCAAAAATTAAAGGGAAGTTATATAAACTTGTACACTACTTCTTTGATAAATAAATAAGAACACAAAGAAAGTAAAAATTTCGCAACAAACTTAACTTTAACCAACGAAGTTATTTCTACGAACCATTTTCAAAACAAACTACATAATCGGGTGGCCATTCTTGTACTTTTTCTATTTGTGGGACCACTTTTAATTATTTTAACATACAACAWGGACTATTTTTATRGTCTACTCTATAACTAAGTTAATATATTTAAAACGTTAAGTTCTAAAAGCAATTAAAGAAATAAGTGTTGCTTAAATTTTTTAATTAAACTCCACTTTTGGTCCCTGTGGTTATTGAAAATTCGAAAATCGTCTTTTTATTTCAATGGGTCTAAAACTAATCACTATATTATGTATTTGACTCTTAACATGTCATTTCTCCTAACACCCTTAATAGAGACACCGTCAGTTGAGGGTAGTTTTGTCTTTTTATRRAAAGTTGTTAATATATAACTATATAAAGATTGTGTACAAGTATTATTAACATTTGAAAAAATAAACACAATTTTTTWATRTATCATGTTTTATATTTTACTCTTTCGTATTTAAGTAAATTCTACTCACATCAGCAACAAAAACCATACATCTYTCGTCACCTATCTCTAGCTAATCAAAATCAAACCGTRTATCTCCGGCCAAACCATCCACCCATCAAAATAATCCAAGCASTTTCAAGGTTTTGGCATCTTCCACCACGGCTACTCATCAACATCTACTTCAGKCAAATCTTCTTAAGATCTTCAATAGAGTGTGTGCTTGTGTGTATAAAGTCGTGGAGGTAAGGTTTGGCCACAAGTTTCTTGGTTTTCTTGTTTTTTTGTTGAGGACAATGGTGAAGGGAGTAGGCGAATGGGTAGAGGTAGCCAATGGTAGGTGGAGCAAGGCCTTGGTTACAGATGGATACAACTTTYGTTGTCCATCCGTAAAGGTTCAGGCCATCGGTGATCCATGGGTGAATTTCCTTCAGTCAATATTCGTGGGTTAAGATTTTACCRACGGGTCATCGAAGGGTTTCACCGACCAATCACCAAGGAATTTTTCTTGTTACTCAAGTACCTACGAATATTAAATATTTAACAATGATTAGTAATTTGTTGGTGATTAAAATTAATGGCATTAAATAATAAACAAGTCTCTGTTGAACAACCAATAATGTAAGATCTYTCGATGCTGCAAGTTCCATGATAACCGGTCATAGAAAGGGAATCCTTAATGGTCTGAAATCTAAACATGTCTCTTCTTCCAACCTCCAACAGTTCGCTCCCATAATTGTATGTCCTCAACWGRTCGGATGTTGGGATCTAAGTTGACATACTTCTCATTTCATAACTAAGAATATCTCTCGTACTGTTTACCAAAACAAAATGGGATTAACTAATCTGTAAACATTTTGGAAACATAACGGGTGTAAAATCAAATATTATCATTACTTGCTTTTAACGATTATAGTTTTCAAATAGCAATAATAGTCACAAGAWGGGGGCGCAATACAATAACTTTGCTACAATAGTCAAGTTAAGTTGTTAGTAATTAATAAAATATATTATATTCCAAAGGTAAATATATGTAAATACAAATCATCAGACATATCAATCGAAGTCCATTTGTGCGACACTAATTGAACCACAGGTGTGCTTGAACGATATCCGCTTATACATGGTTTGCCCGATTGGCTTTGCCGACCCTAGACTGGAATTCTCAAATGCTAGAACTTCATACTTATTACAAACATAACACATAAATTTGTATTAGAAGAAATTAAAATACAATACAAATACACAAACAAACCATGTACCAGTTCAATCATCTTCAGCCAATGCCGCTACAGATCCAGGAAGTGTGGTATGTTGCAAGGGGAGTGAAGTGATCATCACCGTCAAACCTCAACGTAACATCCAGGAAGTCATGTACTTAATATGAGGGAYAGATAATGACTTGTTTTCAGTGTTGAATGCATAATCTAGGGACTATTTTTAGACTTATTTGAAACATATGGACAATTTACATATTTTTTATATAATCATAAGGATCAAAAGTGGAGTTGACTTTAGTTTTGTTTGGTTGTGAATGTATCTTACACCCATCAAAGTATAACGATTAGGTTGATTACCTTACCAACCAAAWAATTTAATACTACGGAAACAAATATTATTAATTATTAAATTACAAATTATATATTGCAATCTAAATAACGACACATAATGGTTTCTGTAGACTTATAAAAAWATTATTAAAACCAYAGTAATTTTAAATATTACTGTTTTTGGTAATCTTGGGTGACTTACTCCCCTCCTCGATGATTAATTCATTGCTTTTGTTACCRTAATTCTCAACAATTTTARTTGGGTTTTATAATTTCAATATTTAAGTATAATGTTTCTTTTGGAATGCTTATTAATTTTTCGAGATTATGTACAGTGTTCTTTATTGCCATTAATAGTGATTTACTTAGAAATTTCAAAAAACCTGAAATCATTTAACATGATTTCAAATAATCAATTAAGTTGTTCGATTTTGGATTTTTTACATACYTGTAGGTGCGTCCCCGACTACCTAACATCTTGAATCCTTCACCGTCACAAATTAATTACAAAGATCCCAACCTCAAAATAGTTGTTATTACATTGTCAGACTTAAATAATCGCAAGTATATAAAATATATATCATACTGAACCAACTAAGCAAAGTGGAAAAAAATGTGCATTTAATATATACTAGAAAGGTATTCGCGCAATATAGCGAGATACATTTTAATTTTAATGTTTCATTTTATTTTGTTCTCTGTCGATGTTATAATACGGTTTTATGTGGTTTTGAGAAAAACAATAATGTTTTTATTTTTGAATAAAATATAAATTTGAAAATATTTTAAAATTAAAAAAAATATCGATATTAGTATCAAATTAATTATTTAAAAGTTCTTATTTTGTTGTGTAATTTCTTTAATTCAACTTTTTTTTATTATAATTTAATTTAGATTTAATAAGAAAGTAATTTATTTTGATTTAATAATATAATTTTTATAAAGATAATAATTAAATATTCTGTTAGAAGACAATGATTATCCTAATTATATTTTAGATTTTTTATAGTTAAAATGAAATATTTATCCAATATTTGATTATATTTATATGTAGTTAGTTATACGAATTCAAGTATGGAGTTTTGATAAGTTGAATTTATAAATTATTACTTGTAATCTTGAATTTTAAGTAATATGCATCAATAAACAATATTTCTTGAATAAAAAATGATTTTTAAGAGTTTTTGTCAAATGATTTATAATATAGTATAGATTGTCTGTGTTTATTTTTATAGCATTAATTTTTTTTTAATTATTATTGAAAACTTCAATTTTATATAAAATTGCTAATAAAAAGATATAATTTAATCACAAGAAATGATGAAAYGGAAAGAATTAGTTTTTGAAGAGGATGGAGAAGATGTGAATGTGGATCGACGATTAATTATGAACCAATCATGAATTATCTTCTCCTGTAAAATGGATTATGATTTTTTATAATTATTTTTTGTATTATAYGATAATAATAATAAGTATAAAATGGATGAGTGTGGTGTTGATTCATTCGTCCTCATTAGTCATTATCAATTCAAGACTTAAAAGAAACATGTGAACCACATGTAGGAGTAGGAGTAGGAGTGCCTAAATAAGTCAGGTCTTGTACTCAATTCTGTACATCGGTATCCACAATCAACCTACCAATGTATACTATAATATATATATAGTATTAGGTTCACGTGAGACCAATGGTTTTTCGTGAGACCCGTAAGACCAATTTATGTTCATTGATCAACTTTATAAATTAAAGATCTAATGGTCTAAATTGCACGGTGTCAATTTTGTAATTATTGAGAAGTCTCATGACGTTTGTGAATGTTCAGATCTGACGATTGTAGATCTAATCCAAAGGTTGAGAATTGGTCTTACG